CGACTCCCGGCGGTCGCAGGCGATTTTGAAATCACCACCACCAACCCCATCCACCACGGGAGTTCCGCCATACACACACACACACACGCACACACACACACACCACACACACACCTAACTGACCACACTCAAACCAACACACTGTCCTCCCACGTAGTCCGGACAGACAAACAACTCGCCATCATTGTCTCCACACCTCAACATCGACTGTCCGAAACGCCACCACACACCAGTGTGGCCGGCTCGTGTCGCGGCGTAAACGCACGTTCGTCTACCCACTCCGACACATCACCCAACTCATGCACCAATCAAGCTTCATTATGATTCCTTCAAAATCAACTACTCAGTCATCAACTCCTCTCCTCCTCCACACACCACCACCTCGACTCACAACCTCACATTTGGTCGAACACCGTGTACTCACTCAGAAACAACCACATGTCACATCACAATCTCACATGGGAACAAACACAAATTGCTTCATTCATTCTCTCCACCTCCCAATCGCCTGTGCGTTCTCTCATCCTCTCCCATCCAATCACACAAGCACGTTGAAAGTGCTTGCGACTGAGATATCTTCTCTCGGATTGACAAGTTGACGACAATCGAAACGATATTTCAATAGACGAACAGACTGATGTGTGGATCGCGACTGACTCGAGTGAACAGACAGGATTCTGAGTGACGTTCAGTGAATCGGTCGATCATGTGCACAATCATGTTTGCAAGCATGTATGCACACACGACGAGGAGGTGATTGTGTGTGGATTGGGAGACTACATGTGCACTACACACAAAGCCACACCGGGACACATGTGAAGCGGTACACACGAACCAGTGTGTAAGACAGGTGAGGATAGAACCGACTGATTGTGTGATCACTCACAACGATGGTGAGTGTGCTCCTCAATTCGATACTGTGCTTTGTTGACGATGCGGCAGATGAACAGCGAGTTTCCGTCCGATCACCAACTCACATATCTTGCCGATTATTGTGACATTCATCTGTAGATATTTTCACCTCGATTGGCTCGTCCAATAGAATGCCTCTGACCGGATAATTCACGTGTTGGCGTCGATGGAGAGAGTGCATGTGAACATTGTGCTTTGTGTAGTTTGGTCAGGCAATGTTGTGATGTGGTGTATTTCAAATGGACACATATTGCAGAGTGTTGACGATATTGCTGATATTGGCACATTGTAGGTGGTGGTGATGGTGGTGTCTGTCCGTGCTGTGGGACAGTTAGTTCGAGACAGTCGGAGATGACTGGACACAGTTGGAGAGGTAGGGTTGGCGATTGTTTTCGGAGTGGATGATGTAGTGCGTGTGTGCATGCATGCATGATTTGTTTGCGAGTGCGTGTTTGTTGTTGCGGACTCAGTGTTAGTTAATGGAATAGTCGCGACCGTGGTGTAGCGGTTATCATGGCTGCCTTCCAAGCAGTCGATCCGGGTTCGACTCCCGGCGGTCGCAGGCGATTTTGAAATCACCACCACCAACCCTATCATTCACATACAGACACTACCCAGGGATTGACACCATACAAACCAGCAAACTAACTTTGAAATGCACTGTTAGGCCGACTATATTTTACGGTCTTAGTCTTTAGAAGTTGTCTCATACGGTGACGCGTATTGAGCCTCTGCCTGAGGAGTTCTTGTCGTTGTCTTCTTTGTTGGGGTTTTTTTCATGAAATCGAGTGGACGAAAATTGAATTTTCGGCGCTTCAATCGAATCCTAAAACAGTTTATCACATGAGCTGCATTATCCTGAGTGAACAAATGACGTATGAGTCAATCTTCGGTCACCCACTATCATGGTACTGCATCTCCTCACGATGCTTCACTGCCTTGTTGGTTATACCTTTATGTCAAAGGCTAGGGGTGTGGTCCGCTAAGAAAACCACCTACTTCTGTTTGAGCACTCCTGCTGTATCACATTCCACTCACAATTAAAATGATGATATCTTATTAGAATTCTATTCTCGCTTGGATTTACAGTCAAACAACTCACATTATTATTATTTACTACGCCATTTATTCACTCTCTTTTATTCCCACTATGTGCATCATTATTTTTCGACTTATACAGCAGCTCGCCTATGGTGAACATTCGGTTCTATCTAAACGTTCTCGAGTCACTGCCTGGTTGAAAATTGTATGCTACCACCGAATACGAATACTAAAGCAGTTTTTCTGAAACCACGTGCATCATTCAAACTAGCCTTATCAACGTTCGCACACTCATGAAGGTCGGACAACAGATAGGGCTGGCTATGTCTTTGGAAAGTCTTAATATCGATGTTTGTTGTCTATCGGAGACCCGTATTTAAGACTCTGGTGAAGTACTACAAGTTCGCTCTCCATCTGTCACTTCAAAAAGCTTGTTTTATGTGCGTTTATCCGGGGACCCTGTGGCATCTTCGTCTGGTCTTACTGGCGTTGGTGTCGCACTAAGCTCTAGAGCTGAGGCAGCACTAATCGATTGCATCCCCATTAACTGCCGGTTATGTGCTGTTAGATTAGAAAGTTCCATCAAAGTGAGAAGAAATCGGCGTGAGAAACGATGTCTTTTCGTCATCTCCGCCTATGCCCCGACAGATTGCAGCCTGGATGCAATCAAGAATGAATTCTACCATCAGTTATCTGTTCTTCTCCAGAAAGTGCGTCCGACAGATATTGTAGTACTAGGCGGAGACTTGAATGCTCAGGTCGGGCGTCTAGGCACAGAAGTGAGCCGTTTAGGTGGTCGATGGGGAATTGTTTGTCACAGGACAGATAACGGGGACCGTCTACTGCAAATATGCACAGACCACAACCTGTTTCTGGTTAGCACTATTTTTCAGCACAATCATCGCCGATGTGCCACCTGGCGTTTCCCTTCTGCATCTCGAGCCTGGACTCAGATTGATCACATCGCGATCAGCTACCGCTGGCGTGGTTGTGTACAAGACCGCAGCTCCTTTTCGAGTACCTATCTGGACTCTGATCATGCCCTGGCCTGTGCCAATCTTACCTTAATTTTCAGTGGCCAACGAAGTGACCACTTCTAGGCTAGCTACCATTCCACCGAAAAGTATAGATGAGCATTGGTTGCAATTGCATGACGCCATGAAAATGGCGGGTACAGTCTGTTGTGGGTTCGCGAAACATCTCGCTTATAAGCACTGGGTATTTTCTGGTTCCTTACAACTCAGTGAAGCCCGTCGGTCTACTCCGGGTGACCGTGAGTTTGACCGCAAACGAAGGAGGTTACGAAATGAAATCGGACAAAGCTTGCGTAAAGACCGAGAAGCATGGTGGTCGGAGCGTGCCAGTGAGTTGGAAGCAGCAGCTGCATCTGGTAATTACCGGAAGCTCTTCCAACTCATCCGAGCCACTGGCAGCAAGAAGCCTGGTGTGAGCGAAACAGTCTGCGAGGATGACGGAACGCCAATCACTAACATCCATCGACGTCTTAGACGATGGTCAGAATTCTTCGGAGGGCAGTTCAATTGGTCTGCCGCTCAGACAACATCGGTCAGACTGTCCTGCCCTTCATGACCGGTGACGACTGATACACCAAATGAGACCAAAGTCCATAAGGAAACCCAACTCTTGAAGCGCTACAAATCATCGGGCCCAGATGACTTACCTCCGGCTCTTTTTAAAGACGGTGGTGACTTTCTGGCTAAGGAACTGATTGTGTTGTTTACAAAGGTCTGGGAACTAGAGATGTACCAACGCCATGGAATGAGTCGATAGTTGTCCCTATCTTTAAAAAGGGTTCACGTCGTTCCTGTAACAACTAACGTGGGATAAGTCTACATCCGATTGCATCCAAGCTATTGGCTTCCGTCATACTTCGTAGGTTGTTCAAAACCCGAGAAAGATTGACTCGCGAGGAGCAGGCTGGGTTTCGTTCTGGTCGAGGATGTATTGATCGTATCTTCACACTCCACCAAATGTTAGAACACCGTCATACTTATCAAAGGCCAACAATCGTAGTGTTTCTTGACATTAGGGCTACCTTCGATTCGTTGGACAGAACTGTTCTCTGGGATTGTCTATTGAAGAAGGGTGTGCCTGAGAAGTTTGCTAACATCTTAAAGGCCCTATATACAAACACCTCAGGCAGAGTGAGGGCATACAACCACCTTTCTCCATTGTTCCATTCAAGCAGTGGGGTTAGAGAAGGTTGCCTAATCTCACCATTCCTCTTCAACTTTGCCACCGATGGCATTCTGGAAACAGCTCTGATAGACGTAAGTAATGGCAGTGTGTATCTGTTGCCTTGAGAAAGACTTCTCGACCATGATTATGTGGATGATATTGTCTTACCGTGCGAGAATGCCCAAGCCGTGCAATCCGCACCTAATCAGTTGGCAATCAATGTCCGTAGGTATGGTATGTGCTTTGCACCTTCGAAATACAAAGTACTTCTACAAGACTGGCAGGATTCTAATCCTGTACTCACTCTGGATGGTGAGCAGATAGAAGTAGTCGAGAAGTTCGTGTATCTAGGTAGCTACATAAGTGCTGGTAGTGGCGTGAATGATGAGATCAATGCACGTATAATGAAAGCCAGAGCGGCTTATGCCAATCTGGACTATCTTTGGCGCCTTCGTGATGTCAGTCTGACTGTAAAAGATTGGATCTACAACGCGTCGATGAGAGCAGTTTTGCTCTATGCTTGTGAAACCTGGCCTCTCCGAGCTGAGGATGTTAGACGACTCTGTGTTTGATCATCGTTGTCTCCGAAGGAATGCTGACATCTAGTGGCAACACCATATTAGTATTGCAGAGGTCTGGCATCGTGTGTTTGGGCACAGAGACGATAATTCCATTGGTGTCACCATCTTGAAACACCAACTTCGGTGGCTTGGACATGTGGCGCATATATATTTGGTGCCATCTTGAGCCAATATTTATGTGTTGAAATAATAAAATAAACACACTGAAACCAATACATTGTCTCCACACCTCAACATCGAGTATGCGAAATATATCTTATCTATCAGATTTGCTTCTGGTTCATGTTCATCATTTTCTCGGTTTTATTTTTTATTAACTTAGTATACCATAAAGTAATTTGGAAATTTTGTATTCATGTTTATTAGATATTTTTGTAGATTATTCAATGTTCCTATTGAAAATATCAAAGCATTGAAATGACGTTTCATTCTATTCTAGGATTTCTCAACAATCCCGCTTTACAGAATCTTCACAACTTTATATGGACAACGTATTCATCATGATATTTTATAATTGAATATTATTTTCATTCAATAAACAATTATGGAATGATTATAGAATATAAAGACAAGAACAATTCTATACATTTGTAAATATATACTTTATCATATCAAATACATGGATCCAAGATGATTGCTCTTGTTGTTGTTGTTGTTGTTATTATTGTTGTCATCATTGTTGTTCAAATACACAATAGTCTAATCATTTAAACAATCACACGATAAAACTATCATCATCATCATAAAATGGATCTAATCAGTGATGTAATACCATTTTGAAAAACAAAACAAACAAAAAAAATAATTGAGTCAGTGAAAAACCTAAACAAAAAAATAATAATTATAATCAATTTCATTATTGAATCTTGAACACAATGAAATGAACAACAAAACAATCACTTGCTTATGAATTAGAATGTTTGATTGATAAGGTTTATTACATAATATTTTGCTATTATTATTATTATTATTATTATTATTATTATTATTATTATTATTATTATTATTGCATATCATTGATAGTTGAAGGAGCAGTATTCAATGTAGATGATATTGTTGTGATAATAAATGGTTTACGAAATAAACCATATACACAATTATAATTATATGATAACATAGATGATGAATTTTGTGTATAACCACATTGAATATTAGATTTTTCACGCTAAATTTAATAATAAAATAAAGATAAAGAAAAAAATAATGAAGATAATCAATGATTATCAAAATAGAATAAATATTATTATAAACAAAGATAGAAGTGAAAAGAAGAATATGTGTTTTGTTCTATATGAGACTTGACAACTAGATTTACTTGTATCCTAGAGTTGATGTTTGCTTGAAATGCCAACACATTACCGAGTGCTCCTCAAATTCCCTGGTATGACCAAGAGTGAGGAGAGTTCGCTCTCCCTCTGGAAATGCCCTCACATGGCCACGCGTATATAGCCTCTGCCACGAAAGTCCTTCTCACTGCCTTCTCGCACAACGGGTGTTGTTTACGAAAAGGAGAGGACGGAAAACGAATGTCCGGCACTTTAACCGGATCCCGAACCATTGGTGCACATGGGCTGGCTCCATTATCCTGAAGGAACAAATGGCGTATGAACCAATCGTTGGTCACCGGCTACCATAGGACTGCGTCTCCTTGCGATGCTCCGCTGCCTTGTGGATCAGACGTTCAGGTCGAAGGCTCGGATGTGGTCCCCTAAGAAATCCACCTGCTTCGGTTTGGGCACCCGTGCAGTATCACAGCCCACACACAAATCAAAAGAAAATTTGTGTGGCGAATATATATTTAGTGTCCTCTTGTACCACTATCTATGTGTTAAAATAAATAATAGCTAGAGTCCTGATAGTCACCTGATTATGCAATGAGGTGAAGTTTAAATTCACTTGGTGTTCTTTTACTTGTAACTTTCCATTGATGTCTTTAGGACATTAATAGTTTTTTTTGCAGGAGTTACATTTGTACAACGCATAAGAGTAGTGCTCTCTTTGACAAGATGGAATCGGGACAAACTGATGCTGCGTACATGCTGTATAGATTTGGATGACTTTCACAAAACATAATACCATAGTATAAAGGTTACTGATAAGCAAACATTGCCAGCTATTGTTTATCAAGTTTCTGGAGAGAAACCCAAATCACCTTATCTCATATTAAATCAAGATTTATATCAAGTACATAGATTTTGTCATAATTTTCTGTATTTACATTCGACTGAATTACTTAATATTGAATTTATGTACTAAGCATAAGGTGACACAGCTTTTGGAATGGCAAGTCTTCTGAAAGCGCAACAATTAGAGCTAGAGTATCTAAATCTACGAGCTACCTCTTTCTTAAAATCCCACTGGTTGCCTTATAACCACTAAACAATTGGTTCAAATACTGTGTTAAAGATTGAACGTTACTAATCTTTAAACGGACAAACAAGATGAGACTATAAATTTATGGACGACTTTTGAGCGACGACGCTAGACTGACCTTGAGAGTTTCCACCTAATAACTAGGACCAAATTAGGGTTATAAACCAGTTTAAGCGATTAGAATTACGATTTACAGTTGATGGTTAAGGGTTAGGAATTAGATTTAGGATTTTCATCACGAACTGACATAAGCTAAAATGCCAAAACTTCATTTATCCAAATGGATGAATGGAATTCGAACCAGAATCGGAGACCTGTTATCTTATACATGATTGGTTCGATTTGAATCGATAACTGAATCTCTGTGCTAATGTGGTATGGCAACTCGAACTGATGTACGTACGTACGAAGTTCCACGTTGTTACTGACTGACTGACTGATTGGTTCGTTCATAAATTATAGTCTTGCTACAAACAATATACTAATATCAGAATGGGTTTTGGGGAGATTTTAGAAATTTCAATAGTTGAAATCATGAGTCAATTGAAGCTAGACCACGATGAAAAACCCGGAAGCACTGGACGTCCCAGTATGGGACTCCTCAACAGTGTGCATCCATGATCCCGCCCGTTGGATGCCGGCTTAGTGGTCTAATGTTAAAGCGCTCGCGCGTGAGACTAGTAAGTCCTAGGTTCGAATCTCGCGGGGGGGGGGCGAGATCATGGATGTGCACTGTTGATGAGTCCCATACTAAAACAAAACGGTTGTCCAGTGCTTTAAGGTTTTCCATGGTGACTGTTCTAAGGCGCTAGTTTCATATCCTGTTTTAAAGGTCTTTTTGTGTTCTCGAATCCATTTGCTGGGTTTTTTAAAAAAAAATCGTTCTTCTTCGATCTATATTAATAAATCTTTCTTATGAGATTATTCAGGGTTCTAAACGAAAATAATAAAGGTAAGCTGAGTTATCCGAATCGAATTTAAGAATTCTAATCGTCCAGTTCATCAAGATAGATTAGAAAGCAACTTTTTAATGTATTCAGAAAAAGTAATTATTCCAGTCACTTTGAAGTAGAAGTAACGCAATACTTTAACTGAGAAGTGAGACCGCTAAAACATAAATAGAGAACTGGTATACAAGTGTTTGATTGTGACTTAACATGGTATTTATTTATTTAAACATATAAACATTGGTACAAGGAGGCACCGAATAGATATGCGCCACATAAATCATTCGATTTGTGTGAGAGCTAAGGTACTGCCCGGGTGCCCAAAACGAAGCAGACAGTTTTCTTAGGGAACCACACCCGGAGCCTTCGACCTAAAGGTCTAATCCACAAGGTTGTTGAGCAACGTCAGAAGATTCAAACCCATGGTAGCCGGTGACCAACGATTGGTTCATATGCCATTTGTTCCTTCAGGATCATGGAGCCCATGTGTACCATTGGTTTGGAATGAGGGTTTTCTAACTCCCATAGGTGGATCCTCTATATCCACAAACCCGGTTAAAGTGCCGGACATTCGCTTTCCGTCCTCTCAATTCCGTAAAAACACCCCCGCCACGAGAAGGCATTGAGTAGGACTTCCCTGACAGTGGTTGTATGCACGTGTCCACTTGAGAGCATTTCAAGAGGGAGAGCTGACTCTTCCCGCTCTCGACCGTACCAGGGCATTTGCGGGATGTAACACGGTGGACAAATGTAAAAAAAAACTCGAATGTGAAAATGATCAACACTTCAGAGGATGTTCAATAATAATATATTTTCGCTCATTTGATTGCTACTGGAAATTTAGACTAAGTAAATCTAATGACAGTTTGTCAGCTTTCCGATGCATCGAACTAACTTATATATTTCAGAAAAAAAATATTCTACACATAATGAATATTAGTATAGGATGGTTGGGGAGATTGCAGAATCTTGTAATAATATATCACAGACTGATATTAGGCAACCATGAGAAATTAAATAGTATTGGATAGTTATCTCTTTAGGAATCAAATCCAGGAACATAAGACCAAGAGAGAGAGAGGGGGGACAATTCATATCCGGACCACTAATTACCATTCAATCGTTTATACGGTTACCTTAAGGTTAGGCGCTTGAAGTGAGGGTTTGATTCCTGACACAATAATGGATCCTTTTTGCTGAGGGATTCCACACTGGAACTAAATAATTATCCAATATTTACTGCTTTTCAATAACTGTCTAAATAATTAGTTTGTGATGTAAACTACACATCATCGATAAACACGGTGGATCTGATGCAGATGTGAAGGCACGGATCGGCAAAGCAAGAGCAGCATATTTACAAATGAAGAATATCTGGAACTCAAAACAATTGGCAACCAACACCAAAGTCAGAATTTTCAATACAAATGTCAAGACAGTTCTACTGTATGGGGCCGAAACCTGGAAAACCACGAAAGCCATCATCCAGAAGATACAGGTGTTTATTAAGTTGTCTACGCAAAATACTTCGGATCCGTTGACCAGACACTATTAGCAACAACCTACTGTGGAAGAGAACAAATCAGATCCCAGTGGAAGAAGAAATCAGGAAGAAGTGCTGGAAATGGATAGGACACACATTGAGGAAAGCATCGAATTGCGTCACAAGACAAGCCCTCACATGGAATCCTCAAGGTCGAAGAAGAAGAGGAAGACCAAAGAACACATTATGCCCGGGAAGTAGAGATAGACATGAGAAAAATGAACAAGAATTGGACGGAACTAGAAAAAAAAGGCCCAGGACAGAGTGAGTTGGAGAATGCTGGTCAGTGGTCTATACTCCATTGGGAGTAACAGGCGTAAGTAAGTAAGTAAACTATAACAAACATAATGAATAGTTACGTATAACTATCGATCAAAATGATAAAAACCATTCAACTTGGTTATAATTATATGGTTAAATCATTATAATAACTAAATTATATCTTACCACAATTTCAAAACCTAATCGTTGAATAGCTAAACGAAGTTCTGTATAACTTAATTCTAAAGAATCTTCACCAGGTATATCAGAGAAATGATATAATAATGGACCTAAAATATAAAATGTTATCAATATTATATAAATAGAAAAACAAAACAAGGAATTACATGGAATGATTACAAAAAAAAAACATAGATATGTACTGTTTAGAATATTCATTAGTACTAGTGTAATGAACAAGAACACAAATGAGGAGCCCTTTCTGGGGGCTACTGCCGGTCCCAAGCCCGGATAAAGGAGGAGGGTTGGGCATGGGGTTAGCGACCCCATCCCGTAGAAAACTAACTCGCTAAAAAAACGCTAACCAGAAAAAATTATTCAAACCATAAAATTACAAAACATCTCGGTAAAATCTGAGAATTATACAGCAAATTTCAGTTCACCATCTTAGATTTCATTGTTTATGCATTTTCATACTAATTGCTCTCCGTTCTCACTCTTTCCCTGTTGATCTTTCACTGAAATACATTCTATATCCAACTATCATTATATACTACTTATGTGGATATAAGTTGCTAACACCAGACTAGTACATGCAAAGAATTGATAATTCAATGGTTTCAATGATTAAGATTATGAGTCAATTGAAGCTAGACAACCATGGAAATCATGGGAGCACTGGACGGTCGTTTCGTCCTACTGTGAGACTCCTCAGCAGTGCACACCCACGATCTCGCCCCCGTGAGATTCGAACCCACGACCTATCAGTCTCGCGCGTGAGCGTTTAACCACTAGACCGCTAAGCCGACATCCAACGGTGTGAACGTCTAACATCAGCTAATCCACAAAATTGAGCGACACATCCATCATTGTCATCGGTGAGTTAATATCTCACAACAGACCTGGTTGAACTCCACTGGTCACTGCTTCTCACTAGAACACGAGGATATACCTCTTGAAGTCAGTCACTAGTGAGTATATGCTGATAATTTAATAGTTAAAACGCTTAGTTATCAACAAGTAAATTGTAAGCTTAAAAATTTAGCTCTAAACTAATTAAGTTTTCCGAGGACGCTCGATCTCGGAAATTTGAACTTTTAATTTTTGTACCAAAAAGCGCTCACTTTTACCTTCATTTTGTATTTCCTACCTGGAACGACCTGAAATGTCATTGGTCTGTTTCCTCTTTAAATACGCTATTTCATGATATTTCTCAATGATATTTTTATACTGTATATATGTGTTTGAGTTGTGTGTCTGTTCGTTCGTGCTTTCAACTACTTGTAGAATATACTTTTCCCTTGGCTGATTCTGGTCTTCTCCTTCTAGTTAGCAGATCTGTGATGCGGTGAATAGTTTATCTTGTCTTGTTGTTGTGTTGCTGATCCTTCATTCCGTTTGCCGATTTTAGAGGATCTTGCAATCTCTTCAAACATAACAAAGTTCGAAAGACCTTATCAATGTCACTAGTCCTTACTACAAACAACCTAGATTAAATTCTGGGTGAACAGGTTTTGTGGGATTGGTTTAACTTATAGATTGTATTTATCATAGATCGCTCGTGGAGTATCACTGAAAACTACAAGACATAAAACAGATGTTTTGTTCGAGTATGAAACTGCTCACATGTGTGAACTTGTAACCCCATAAATGGAGTTAAATCCAAAACCTTTACGTCATGCGGCAAATCTCTAATCACTAAAACCAATGGGTGAACGTCTGATTGTATGATCCAAACTGTAATCGATTTGTGAAATAAAGTGCTAATCATCTAATATAATTGGACAATCCAGTAGTTTTAATGATTAGGGATTTTCTGCTAGGTCTGAAGGTTTTGGATTTAATCAGTGAAGATGGGGACTATTGATGAATCTTGTTATTAGGATGAAATATCTTCAATGTTCCGTGGCTTTAAATGAAACTACAACTGACATTAATCTGTAATAAATGCAACCTGCAAATCTGGCCAAGTATATTAGCCTGTGCTTTATTATAATAAGGGTTTAATATTTCTCTATCGTTAGTATTCAGGACTAGATTTAATCACTTTTAGTTGACATACAAACTAACCTTGGGCAAGTACCTCGATAATGCTTGTAATTAGTAGTGAAATTCAGATAACGAGGCATTTCATTTTATTTATAACTTTTCAGACGTGTGCAATGGTGATAATCAGTGACAATCAACACATTAAAACAATGCTTATTTACCACGTACTTGAGAGATGCTGCCTTTCCACATGGAGGGGTGGGGTTAGAAAAGGTCGACCCTAAAAATACACATCTCACCTTATCCCACGGATATCCGTCGCCCACGGTAAGACCTCAACAAGTACGAAGCTAACACAATGACTACTCATAAAAAGGTCGTGTGTGACCGACCTCAAGCAGCTGTCCCTTGGGCACTGCGGTCACACTCTCAGGTCACTATGACCACCTCTAATTCGATTTCCTTTTCAGGTACCTCCAGAAGAAGTACTTGAGTATGAAAGTTAATGGTACTATCCGGTTTTCAGATAACATTATTAAAACTATATATTCAAAACGATATATGTGGTCAAGTATACGAGCATTTCATTGAAGAATAACATAGCAGAATATAACATGGAACTTAATCAATTTACAATCGATTAATTAGGTATACAATCCTTACAGTCTGTTTTGGCATTTTCATATATTTAAGTTAATAGAATATTTGCTTAGTTGAGTTGCTTATCTATGTAAGTTACTCAGAAAAGGCAGAAAATTGACTGTGAAGCTTCAACAACTGAAGTGTTTAGAACATGTTACGTATGATCAGCCATAATCAAACCTGAATTGTAATGCTGAACATGTTAGAAGAGGTTATTCACATCCAGTATGAGATCTATGTGCACCACAACTGTAAATCACGAGTTACAGGTTTTAAATAGAATGATTTAGAATGGGTTCCGCAGTGGTACACGTATGATACACCACTTATGCGATCCATTGTATAACCAACTTTCATTCATTATTTCAAAACTATAGTTTTGTATTTCTAGTATAACTGATATAATCAATCATTCCCCTATACTTAAAATGTTAGCGGTTTCTAATCACTGTGGTGAAAAGAAAAATAGAAAATATGTCTAACGAGTAACTGCACCAAGTTCTACATTTTTTTAAAGACAGGCAAGATATATCAAATAACAAGTATTTCTGACTAGTCAAATTTTTTGCCCCCAAATGCCCTGGTACGGCCGAGAGTGGGGAGAGTCCGCTCTCCCTCTCGAAATGCTCTCACATGGCCATGCGTATATAGCCTCTGCCACGGAAGTCCTACTCACTGACTTCTCGTGGCGGGCGTGTTGTTTACAAAAATGAGAGGACGAAAAGCGAATGTCCAGCGCTTTAACCGGACCCCAAACCAATGGTGCACATGGGCTCCAGCATCTTGCGGGAACAAATGGCGTATGAACCACTCGTTGGTCACCGGCTACCATGGGACTGCATTTCCTCATGATGCTCCACTGCCTTGTGGGTCAGACGTTCAGGTCGAAGGCTCTGGGTGTGGCTCCCCGAGAAAAACACCTGCTTCGGTTTGGGCACCCGTGCAGTATCACAGCCCTCACACAAATCAATTGAGATTTGTGTGGCGCATATGTATTTGGTGCCTCCTTGTACCTATACTTATGTGTCAAAATAAATAAATAAATAGTCAAATTTACAAAGAGATCAGTCAGTCAGCAACAATGTAGAACTTCGTACGTACGTATATCAGTTCGAGTTATCATATCACATTAGCATACAGATACAATTGTCGATTCAAATCCCATAATGATAGAGGTAGTAAAAGTATAAGGAAAAAATCGGTAAGATTAAGGTTTGAAGATGTTATTCAAGGAGTATAATCCAATGAAATAAATCTGGAAAGAGAAAAAAAGGGACATGAACAATTCAGAAGATTAGAATTCAGAAGAACACAAAGATTGGATGAACCTGTGCTACAAAAAGATAATTCAGGATGAAATGTGGACTATTCGAAGCCTCTTGTTTTGAATGTCTCTAAGCACTTAGTAACAAAGAAATAACACGAGCCATATTACGTTACTTAGACTACTGGTCAAACTTCTTCAAACTAGAAATTCAATAAGTACAGAGGGGGAACTAAACAATATCAAAATTGGTAAAATAATAATAATAATAATAATAATAATAATAATAACTCGATTAACCGATCATTATATGTTCCCAGGCCAGTACCATACTTGTACTTACAAAATTTCAACGGGATGTTGGGGAGAACCGTTAGGCTTTCCAACGAACACACATGTCTCGTTAAAAGCCAACTGATTACATAAAAATTTGCATATCTAATAAATGAATATCTTTCTAAAGCATTAACTTATACATACCAAAATTGATCCAATAACCACCAGGTTTAAGTATACGCCAAATTGTATCCAAATAACTAAGAATATTATGTGCTGTGTCAATAAAAAACACAGTGGCTATACAATCCCATGTATCTGTGTTTAAATCAGAAAAAAATTAGGCATAAGATCAATAAGGATAATTGATTTCAAAAGGAAGTGGAAAGAAGGACGCGGGGGTAGAATAAATTGTTCTCACAATGATATTATTTAAAAAGACTTATTTTACTGACTTAGAAACAAAGCCACCAAATGCCCTGGTACGACTGAGAGTAGGGAGAGTAAGCTCTCCCTCACGAAATACCCTCACATGGTCACGTACATACAACCACTGCCAGGGAAGTCCTACTCAATACCTTCTCGTGACGGGGGTGTTTTTACGGAATTGAGAGGACGGAAAGCGAATGTCCGGCACTTTAACCGGGTTTGTGGATATAGAGGATCCACCTATGGGAGTTAGAAAACCCTCATTCCAAACCAATGGTACACATGGGCTCCATGATCCTGAAGGAACAAATGGCATATGAACCAATCGTTGGTCACCGGCTACCATGGGTTTGAATCTTCTGACGTTGCTCAACAACCTTGTGGATTAGACCTTTAGGTCGAAGGCTCCGGGTGTGGTTCCCTAAGAAAACTGTCTGCTTCGTTTTGGGCACCCGGGCAGTACCTTAGCTCTCACACAAATTGGAATGACGTCAGTTTAAAAGACTAAGTGTGTGGTTATTGACTGAAGTCTAGAAGAAGTGCCCTTTTTTATGAAACTTAGTTAATCTCCATCCAACTTATCAGTGCTATGCCGATTTTGTTCAAAGAGACAGTTAAGAAAATGGATTTTACTAAACGAGTAAAATCAGAAAGTAATACCTATACCACTTATCATCGAAAGTGAGATCATCGCTTCACAATACAATACAAAATAACGATAGACGATATAGAAGTTGTTCAAATGAAACAACAGTGACATTGAATAGAGGATACGAAAAATTCAGTCAGTCAGTCAGCTACAACGTAGGACCAGGCACATATATGCATTGGTCCAAGTTGCCACACTTCATTAGCACAACAACATGAACACCAGATTCATAGAAGTAGTTAAGCCAATGGTGGTAATACAAGGATGCATATAAGTATATAGTACAGGAAGAAAGAATTAGTTCATAGAAAGAAAGATATAAAGCGATTTTAATCTCATAGTTTAAGGAAAGATCGAGAGTGTATACACCTAAGCCAATGTGATCGATTCTCAACCATGTCATCAAGATTCTCCAACTATAGTTTAAGATAGTCACACGGACCCCAACCAAGTAGTCTGCATCTACCAACATGGCTCACAACAGACGTTAGTGACTTGAAGCACTGATGCCACGTTTTGGTTTGGCCGCCCTACAGTCAATACGGAAAATTGACTGTAGTTCGTTGTTTTTCCTTCAACTTCATACAAGTGAATATGCTTAGTCATTTTGAATGATCAAAATAAAGAAAAGAATTGTTCATAAAGAGTAATTTATTTGAAATATAAATTAAACAAGAATTTAAAGTTATAAGAGGGGTTTTTGTAACTGTTTGAGGTTAATGTTAAAGAATATTTAGTCAGTTATATGTAATATAGAACCTAGCACATGTGTACATTCATTCGAGTTGACATACCCTACTAAAGCATTAAGATAACATTGTCAGGGCAAATCCAAAAGTAGTAGAAGTGACAACAGAAAAGACATCGAACATACTATTCGAGAAAATATAAATTCAGTGAAATAAAAAATGTTTGTAAATAGTTTAATACTTTGGGTTTAAGTAAACACACAATGAACGACTCTGAGTCATGTCATCCAGTCTTCAGGCAATGGATACGATAATCACACGGACCCCAGTCAAGTGGTCTGAACCTACCTATATAGCTCAGTCCAACAGTCAGTGCCTCCATAGACCGATGCCATATCTTGGTTCGGCCGCCCCTATCTTCCCAGTCATCACTGTTCATCGAGATGGTCGGTGAATGGCCATATGTAATACATGCCTTAGGTATTTCGGTCGATAATGATCCACTACCTCATCAATCGGTTTGCCATAACTAAAGTCCTATGCGTCTAGCCTTAGAATTTCTAACTCGATGGTTCAAAGAAATTATTATTGCCCCCAAATGCCCTGGTACGGCCGAGAGTGGGGGGAGTCCGCTATCCCTCTCGAAATGCTCTCATATGGCCACGCGTATACAGCCCCTGCCAGGGAAGTCCTACTCACTGACTTCTCGTGGCGGGCGTGTTGTTTACAAAAATGAGAGGACGAAAAGCGAATGTCTGGCGCTTTAACCGGACCCCAAACCAATGGTGCACATGGGCTCCAGTATCCTGCGGGAACAAATGGCGTATGAACCAATCGTTGGTCACCGGCTACCATGGGACTGCATCTCCTCACGATGCTCCACTGCCTTGTGGATCAGATCTTCAGGTCGAAGGCTCGGGGTGTGGCCCCCTAAGAAAACCACCTGCTTCGGTTTGGGCACCCGGGCAGTATCACAGCCCTCACACATATCAAATGAGATCTGTGTGGCGCATATGTATTTGGTGCCTTCTTGTACCGATATTTATGTGTTAAAATAAATAATAAAATAAATAAATAATTTGAAGACACGTAAGATCGAATACTAGTAACTCAATGAATATACTCAATTTTCAAAAGGCCACGTTTTACAGTCAGAGTCGGTGGTTTGCAACCTTTATCTGACTTGATAACAGAGAGTTTGAGCATTTCTAATACTTTCCCGTTAATTATAATCATATTCCAGTAAGTTCAACTCAAACGTTGCCTTCCTTAACGCTCCAAATTTTGTTATGCGACGTAAGAGACACTATCTTAAATATTTTCCAACACAAGTGGTACAGGAAGCCGGACTTCAAAGATCAAATGTTAACCAACAAGGGTAACAACACAACAAAACATAAAGAGGTCAATAAACACACACTATTCAGAAGGACCAAAACCCAATGCAGTACTCATGGTACACAAAAAATTGAGAAACATTCATCCTTTATCCGTCTTCCATAAGAACGGCTACTCCGCAACTTCATCAAAAGGTATCTAAATAATTGAAACACCATCAAAATGATATGTAATCATTGATATCATTGTACGTAAATAACCTTGAATATGAATTTCATCGAAGCACCGAAATTCCAGAACAAGAAACTCTTAAATGACGGAATTCCCAAAAGCATGACATTCTAATCAATCAGCAATCAATAAACGCATCGATATAACTCTAATCCATTAACCTATATGGGAGAGTTGAATAAATCATAAACGGCAACCAAATAGAACAGCTGACATGAATGAAAGGACAAATAAAGATAACAAAATCTAAGAAAACTATCAATCACAAACAAGGCTCTCATGACAGATTAACAAAACACATGTGGAATAACTTTATAAATGAATGAGGTGCTGATGTTGTCCAGAACGACAATAAAGAATCTACAATCAAACCATATACTTCAGAAAACAATACTACTTAAGATGTTAATTTTCTAAAATAATAAATTTCCAGAATAATCATTCTAAACATTCACAAAAGCCCTATTATAACTTTAGATTACAATGTCATATATATTCCAAATAAATTACTCTTTATGAACAGTTCCTTTCTTAAAATTGTAAACTATGCTGTCTATAGTTGACTGAACACTGGATAGTGATCAATGTCATGTGTGTCAAGTCATTTTTAGTGCAGATCAAATTCTATTGATCAATTTGCAATGTGGCTACTACTCTAGGAGGCTCGACATTGTGTGCACTATGTTGAGATAAGATGGTGGTTGGAGGTAGTCAATAAGAAATACTTGACATATGTTTCGGGCTATTTGGTAAACTATATTGATAATTCGAAATAACTAAGCATATCAACTTGTATGTAACTGAAGAGAAAGCAACGAACTACAATGAATTTATTGTACTCTGGCATCAGTGTTGTTTCTTCTTTTGTTTACATTTGTAAAGAAGGACAATTATAATTAGAGCAATTTTATGCACCAATATACACAAACAAACAAAAACGCACATACTTGGCTCAGTGTATATTTCAACGAAATCTCCAGCTGCCATAGAAAATTGAACATTAGCAGGTAAATCTGCTGGACATACATCAGGGAAATGAACCGGGGTTATTTGATCTTCACGTGACATATTATTACAAAATTGACCGATCCATGGATATAACTTATACTCATTAACTTGTTTACATCTAAAAATGTAGAAAAATCAACATGAAAGTTTGCAAATACAAAGAGCACTTAGTAATTCGTAGACAATGTGAAACCAGAAGCAGTAGGTTATTTATTTATTTTATTTAACCATATAAACACTGGTACAAGGAGGGACCAAATAGATATGAGCCACATAAATCATTCGATTTGTGTGAGAGCTAAGGTACTGCCCGGGTGCTCAAATCGAAGCAGCTGGTTTTCTTAGGGAACCACACACAGAGCCTTCGACCTATAGGTCTAATCCACAAGGTTGTTGAGCAACGTCAGAAGATTCAAACCCATGGTAGCCGGTGACCAACGATTGGTTCATATGCCATTTGTTCCTTCAGGATCATGGAGCCCATGTGTACCATTGGTTTGGAATGAGGGTTTTCTAACTCCCATAGGTGGATCCTCTATATCCACAAACCCGGTTAAAGAGCCGGACATCCGCTTTTCGTCCTCTCAATTTTGTAGACAACAATAATGCCACGAGAAGGTATTGAGTAGGACTTCCCTGGCAGTGGTTGTATGTACGTGACCATGTGAGGGTATTTCGTGAGGGAGAGCTGACTCTTAGTGTGTTGCAAACACAGGACACATTCCTGAGTCGCAATTCTGATTTTTGGATACTGAAATACGCTTTATCAGTGAAGATCGAGAACGATGATTACGAAGTTAGATAAACGTAAATAAAAATAACAATTACTACTGGAAATAAGGAATAATGAAGTCAGAAAAGGAGTAGGAATGATGACAATCCTCCATCTATTTATTTTATAAAAATATCAGCCTACCGGACAACATAAAATATACTAAATCGCAATGTTGAAAGTCCTTGAATAATAAATCAGAATTTAAGTCTGATTAACTATCCACTTCCACTTCCACTGATGGTATAATATGGCCTCACCTAATCTTTTAATAAAACTTAATAATGAGACCAGAATTTTATTAAAATATTCAAATTATGAGGTGTCACTACATTTACTGACAAACATTTAGATCGACTAACTTTATACTACCTTATACATTCGAATGTTAGATGTTATCTGGCAATAAATTATAAAATAATGCTGGTCAAAATAAATATATGGTTAACAACATACGTGTTTAGAATGAAATAAGCTGGAATAAGCATGTACAAGCTCCATTCATTTCCTTGGCATGTGTAGCCAAGATGAGCAAGTTCCCAAGCCAATCGACCAAGGCCAGCTCCTGGAACTAGGATTTTTACATTTGCAGGATTTCTGAAACAATAGAAACAGTATGGCAAAGTTCTGTTTATAACCAAAACTAACCATGTTGAATTTTATTCACTAATCCCGCAGGTAGAATGACAGCTTTAGTAAGAAAATCGGATAAACCGAGAGAAACTAGTTAGTAAATAGGCACTATATGTAAATAATTCACTAAAGCACGCTGTATTTGTAACTTGAAAACGTTGAAGACCTCTACATAAACAAAATTGGCTGTTCCATCGTCGTGAAGCCTACTTCTTTAGGATTGAGGGATTCATTCTAAAAACCTGGACGGTTAACAATAATGCGGCTAAATTAACATGTACTGGTTTATGTGTTCGGTCTTAGGTCACAAAATTTACGCAGATATTTATTATATCAACCGGGTATTTGAACTACTGGGTGAAGCCGGGTTCGAGCCTGAGGATGGTTGGTTGAAAGCCGTACTTTAACTGGTGCACTGCAGCCTACATTACTGGACGTAGAGCAACGAAATCCACTGTTCATATGACTCAATCTTCAACGCTGAAAATACCCGCAGTGATAGTAGGAAACAAAGCAAACAAGATGATCACCAAAACATTTAGCTAGTAAAATGGGCATTATACCCTATCGGAATAGCGCAGGATCTGTCGAATTACTGTGAACATGAGTTTAGCCCATCTCGATAGCTTATGGATTTGATGTAGATTTATATCAAATATTTGGTAACAGCATGACTTATTCCTATCATTTTTTGCTAATGTTTCACCTGGAAAAATATAGCACCTCGGGATTATCAACCTTTGAATGCAATAGGTGTTCATAATTATTCAGCAGTGCTCTACATACCACATTCTACAAGTCTAGCTAACATAGTTAATAGCTATTTCCGCGAGTAGCTACATTCACCGACAATTGCATAGTTTGAAAGTTTATAATTACCTAAAATTATAATTAAAAATATAATTGTTGGTTACAAACTTACATTTTCTTTGGGTTAAAGAGCTCTAAAACATCATTAAGTACAAATTGATAACATATATCCCGTTCTGGTTTTCCTTCAACCGACCAATCTCTTACAAATTGTTTTAAAGCTGACCGAACTTTGTCCATTTCTGTATTTGTAAATGCAAAAGGACCAATTTTTTCCCGGGGACCGACCGTGTGACCATTATTTAAATCTGTTCCGTTTGATGAACCAACTGTGCCATTCAACTCACAAGCCTTGATAACATGAAATTAACGTTAATCACAGTCAACCTACATGTTCCCCGTTGAAAATGTCTGGAGCGGAATGCTTAATAATGCTAGCTATTAAATCATTGTTGTGCAAGATGCATTCCTCAACCTTTTTGAGGTTATCATCAAATTCACGAATAAGTTTATGGTGAGTAGACGGTAACGAGTAATAATAGGCACGCGAGCGTTCGACTCTTTTAAGAAGATGTGGACTGCATATAATTGTGAAATATGTGCATTAAATCATACCCAAAAAACCTAAAAGCTGACAAAGTTTTGACGAAATGATGGTGATCCATTTCAGCAGCTTCCTTCAATTCCTCGTCGGTCCCCGTCATCGTAATAAAGTAATCCCGAGTTGATAGTTAAGCTGTATTAGCAAGTTCGTCGTATGAAAAATACGAGTGAATTATTCAGAGAGCAACTACCAACTAGGCAATAAAAAAATCTGAAAGAGAAGAACATGTTTTAGTTTTTACAAATATCTCAATTGAGATATTTGTATCGAATTCGATAGTGATCAGGCTCAATAAGAGATCATATGAAACGAAACAAGTGAAGAAGCCGATGTGCAATGCAATCTTACAAATAAAAACTCAAATACAAGCAAGCTTTCCAATAACATATTTTACAGGGCATAACCGATATCTAAATGGCACAAAAAGCTAGTGCTTCAGACTGACCTTGAAATTATGAGTGTTCAGTACCCAATATCTATGAAGAGATTAAGATTTGTGTTGTAAGGACAAAAGACATACACCCTATGTTATTCTTTTTCTAGTAAGCGTGTGTGAGTGTCTAGTCTTCTCTTTAATGAGTCAAGTGAAGGTGCGAGCAACGCCGCTTCGGGTAACAGGTCGCAAGTATAGATGACGCGTTGTGAAAACCTGTATGCCACTGGTATTTCGCTCGTTCTTGGCTCTTCCGCTCGCCTGTTATGTCATCTGAGATGTCTCAATCTAGTGGAAATAAAAAAAGAGGACATATTAGGTCCAAAATCATTTCTCAGTATTCTATATATCATAATCAGATCATCTCTTGATCTGCGATAGGACAGAGAAAAGAGGTCTAGTTTTTCAAGCCCCTTTTGTATGTTAAATCCCAATATCAGGTTTTTTCTTCAGCTGAAGCAAAAGAAGCCTTCAAGAGAGGACTTTTCTGAGTACTTCCAGGATTTGTAACAGATTAGGTTGATTGGTCAAGGGTGGACCTCAAACAACAAAGTATTTGTAAAAACAATAGTGTTCAAGCATTCATTCACTTCATTATTTAGTTTAGGCATTATATTTTTCATCATCTTATACTTAATGTTGAAAAACTTTATCTGTCTGAACAGGAAACCTTACGCTCCGCTGCGACTGAGCGACGACCTAAATAAGAACCTATTCGCTACTAGTCTGGTTTCTCCTTTCAATAGCACGAGGGTTATCTTCAGGCACGAAAAGTTCACCTATTGTCTTATTCTATAAAGCGTGCAAATGCTAACTCCTGAAACTGTTTCTGAGAGTAGCTTGCTTATTAAGGACATAATATGACTGAGGTAGTGCTCAAATCTGGTCTTCGGTTCCTCTTTGGAAGATTCTCTTGACTTATCAGCCAAGTTTGTTCAACACTGTGGAATTTTATCTCCAGAAATTGGCCTCTTCCTGCGGTTCGATTTGACTTCAGACTCACATGTTTCTCTCCATTTCCTTACTTTTCTATATCTAAGTGTGCTAAAAACATACTTTATTATGTCGCTTGATCACATCACCTACACTGCCCATGTTCTCCTTCCCCACAGTCTAATTAAAGTTGATATGTGAACACGGAACTGAAACCACAGACTCACATATATGAGTATTGCCTTTAATTTGTTTCGCATCAGCGTGCTTCATCTTTTTCTGTGTAACAAAGTAAACCATCTGATAACCAATATCATCGCTACAAGAGTATATAAACCGAATGTTTTTGGGCACACTTCTTCTTATTTCAACACTGTTCCAGGTATTTGGTAATGTCTAATAGGAGGCTGCTTCTAAACTCCATTAGTTTCAACCAGTTTGATAGATATTTGTAAATTTGTATGTCCTTTAATTCGCGTGTGTGTGTTTGTCTCAGAACAGCGGAATTTCCGGAACCGGCAGCTATCACATTATTAGGCAGAGGGTTGACTGGTGGTTGTAATGTACAAAACAAAAAGAAAATTCGAATACTGGGAAAAGACGATTGTCTCGATCAATAAGTGATCAAGTGAATTGATCAGTGTGTAATGCCAACTGTACGAGCAGACGGAAGTGCAAGAATAAAATGGGAAACTCAGATTGTGATAAGCGAGGTAGAATGTAGCTACTGATATGTAATAATGATGACAGCAGGGAATCTACAAAACACGCATCAGGCACAGCTGATACAAGCGGGAGATGGTACTTTATGGATGAATATGTGTTTGTCAAGTCTCCTCTTAAAGCTATCCACTAAGAGGCCCGTGGTCACTTCTGATGGGAGAGCATTCCAAGTAAAAGTAACTCGTAATGAGAAAAAGAAGGCGTATCCGGGCTTCGTTTTCTCATGGCTGTTTTTCTGGAGTGACGTTGAGGAGCGTGATGATGCTGTTCAGGTAAAATGCTCATGTTGAAGTGACTTGAGATATGTGATATCTTGCTTTCTATGATCACAGTGTATCCAAAAGCTAATCTATGGCTTTAGTGCTCACTTTTATCCGTGCAATCCTATGATTTTTTGGTCTTGATCTGTTGGAATTAACTCACAGTATTGTAGTGGGCGGCCAAACGTGCAAAACATTGATTAGTAAAGCCGCTTCTCTCACACTTTATACCATAATCGTTCAGTTGAGTGTCATCATATTGTTGCCAGTGGATTCTAATCTTTTCTCAGGTGACGTTGTCGCAGCTATGTTATGGCATTCAAGATTATTCTGCATACAGGTTTCCCCTATTTTAATAACGGTCCAGGTGAGTACATGTCAATCTGTCTGCGGACTCAGTAAAGAGAAATTTGTTCTCAATCTGAGTTGGAGTTACCAAAGTTACCAGTCGAGAATGTGCAGTGATTGGAGGATTTCGTCTATTTCTGCGTTGTTTAAGAGCCACGATGGATGCTTCTTTATTAAACTTGCAGTTTGCAACACTCTACAACTTGGATGAGGTTCTAAGTATTTCAGTTGATTTAAATATACTTATTGATACTTCGTTCGTCTTGTAAAATTTACTTTATGTGAGTGTGATATTTGAATGTACTAATGATTCCTTTGTACTTGTTAAATGCTGGATTTCAAATTTCAAATACAGTACTTTCGTTCGTGTTTATCTAGTACTTCTCGACCCGATTGTGTTAGTTCTGGGATTCCTAGTTCGTACTATAATTCAAACACTACTAATTATCATAGTGAGACAGAAAGAATATTTCCTGGTTTTGCAAGATAAAATGGTGGTGAGTTAAATGCGCTGTAGATTTTCGAATTCTAATTACCATAGCAAATTAATTGACTGTTTCCAGAGTTATGTTGGTTAGTTATTGGTAATTATCTTGTTACTACCGTTGATCCAGTACTAAACATTGTGACGCGGTAGTACACCAACGTATGAACAACAATTTTGAGCAGCTAATCTCTTTCTCAGAAGAACTGGAACTATCAGCTATTTTTGACTATAAAGATCGTTTTCATCCACTCTAGGGTAGGGGTTTTAGGTCATCTACAGATAAAAGGCTTTGACTTATCGCATTCATATTAACAGTGACTGTTGCTCCACCGTCGAAACTCGACAACTGTCTAGCATATCCCTGTTTTCAGGCAATTTATTTCTAATAAATGATAAGTCAAACATCACTGCTTTAAATTATCATGCTTGAATGTCCACTTCATCATGTCAACCAAAGCAATTAATTTACGGGATAGTGCTCGTTTACATGCCGATGATCCTTATCTTACCGTTCGCAGATAAAAATCATGATTACTATTAAAGCACATCACTTTACCTTTCCCAGATAGAATATTAATTTAATGATAAAGTTCTGGCATTCCATAGCAATTGCGCGCAAAATTAGTGGCATCGGAGTCTAAATACACAATCTTAAAAACTGAACAAGAGACAACTAGGAAAGTAGATATTCAACATTCAACGTTGGGAAAAACCCAACGACGGTGAAGGCGGGAACAATGAGTTGTAGGAATTTGAATTGATCGGATGGCATGGCTCAACCTCACGGGCATGATCACCCTGTACAACTTGCTGTTACTCATAATAAAAATATTGTACTATCTCCAGCCTGAATGTGTTCTCCATCATGTATTTGTAATTATTGCGATACGAAGGGTCTGTAGCAAGCCCATTCCACTAATGTATTATTTGTCTGCACAAATGTGTTAATTTCGTATGAGTATGATTGAGCGTGTGTCTGCACTTCAATCCCTATTCTATTCCCCGTTGGTTGAGACACATAGATAATCAACTACATAAAAAATTGTGCTTAATTAGCCAACGTTGACCATGATTATTTATGGCCGAAATTGGAAAAGTCAATTGCATTAGATCTGAGGAGATTGAATAATTGTAATCTATATCGAATGACTTCTCTTATTCGAACAGCCTCATAATTAAAATACTACTAGACTCAATTTATAATATATACTGCGTTGTATTACAATGCAACTCCATTCGTACTGTGTAGTATACGTGTAGTTAGTTAACAGGTCGTATATGTATATGAATCTAGAAATATCGCTGTACATTTCTGTGTTAGTATTCTTTAGCGTCAGCACATTTTAAATACTTACTGAATGGAAAGCAATGAATACACGGAAATATAAGAATTACAATTTAAAACTGCAGAGTTCCTGCTGCAAAAACAAACAAAAGAAAAATTTCTACTAATTAATTACTAATGTGATAAACTTTGGGCAAAAAACTGAATTCAAACTATTTTAGATTCTACAGGAAAAAATTTGACGTTTTAATTCTTACAATAACCCTTTCACATGTAAATCACTAGCCTTACAAAATGTTTGTGGACGAAATAAGAGAAGCTTTTTCCATGCAGGCCCGGTTCTCATCAACAGCCGACTCTTGAAAGCTTAACCACAGTCTTAGTATAGCAGCTCGCGTTTAGCCATGAAGTAATTTGTGTACTACGGAAGTACTCACAGTAGCGTTACGAGGAACAAAACCAAAACAAAAAACGGTGAGTCCACCTGACAAGCTCGCTCCAGATATTTGGTAATGTCTAATAGGAGGCTGCTTCTAAACTCCATTAGTTTCAACCAGTTTGATAGATATTTGTAAATTTGTATGTCCTTTAATTCGCGTGTGTGTGTTTGTCTCAGAACAGCGGAATTTCCGGAACCGGCAGCTATCACATTATTAGGCAGAGGGTTGACTGGTGGTTGTAATGTACAAAACAAAAAGAAAATTCGAATACTGGGAAAAGACGATTGTCTCGATCAATAAGTGATCAAGTGAATTGATCAGTGTGTAATGCCAACTGTACGAGCAGACGGAAGTGCAAGAATAAAATGGGAAACTCAGATTGTGATAAGCGAGGTAGAATGTAGCTACTGATATGTAATAATGATGACAGCAGGGAATCTACAAAACACGCATCAGGCACAGCTGATACAAGCGGGAGATGGTACTTTATGGATGAATATGTGTTTGTCAAGTCTCCTCTTAAAGCTATCCACTA